AAGAGGAGAAAAGAAAAGGGTGAAAAGAAGGGAAGATCAGTTGCTGTTAATCCCGCCAACAGCGTGCGGAGCGAGGATGGGGGCCGAAAAGCCCTTGTCCCCCCCCCCCCCCCCCCCCCCCCCCCCCCCGGTCAACCTATAAGATAGAAAAGGAAGGGAAGGGAAAGGTAAAGAGGAGAGAAAGGGAAAGACAAAAAAGAGAAAGAAGAAAGGTAGGGAGATCAGTTGCGATTTTTTCCCGCCAACAAGATGTAACGGAGGGGGGGGGGGGTGGAACTGGTGTATTGATAGGGGGCGGGGGCGGCTTGGTGGAAATAAAATTCAAACGTGTTTATTTCTAATCCATAACGGTGGTTTACAAATAATGCTAAAATGACATCATTTTTCCGAGATTTGTCCTCACTTTTTAATAAATTACCTATATTTTTGAATGCGTTTGTTGGAAAATTACAAATTCCTAAATTTACAGCCATGCAAGAAATATGCTTCTTGAGGTGCCTACATGTCAGGGCGCGCGGAACGGCGGGGATCGGGAGCCTCGAGCTCCCCCCCCCCCCCCCACACACACACACAAACAAAAAAGTATATTAAAGAGAAATAGAAAGAAAGGGAGCAAGGAAGAAAAAATGGTTAACTGCCAGTGGCACAAAATAATGAGGTATCAAAATATGCTCATCTGACCGTGATTAAATGCCTATAAAACCAATAAGCTTTCGGGGCTCTGCCCCCTGGATTCCACCTAGGGCCCTAAGGCGGGCCCTTAGATGCTCATCTATAAGGTAAAAGACCATATTTTTGTGAATGTCTTGTGTGTGCTCTGCAGGTCACATTCTTAAAGGACTTCTTTCAAATGTTGTATGGAGGTGTGTCTTAGTACATCTACACACATATTGTTTTGGATGCTGCTCCTAGTCTTGACAACAGTCCAAGCCACTAGTGGCGATCTCTACGTCATCCTTTTGTTTCAGGGAGGGGAGAGGGGATCTTTGTCTCTCCTTCGAACATAAGGATGACACAAAATCGCTGCCACTGCCGGGGGATACATTGCATTGCGCGGCAATACAGATTGCGATATTCTAGTTTTTGTTTGTTTATATCATTCTGTCATTTTCTCTTTATATCGTTCAACTTATTCTTTGTTTTCATTAACTGGTAGGATTCCAGAGTGCCCCCATTTTACAGTAATTAAAAGACGCATACCAAGTGGACATTTCATATATTTGCAATGACGTTCTTCGTCATTGCATTGTTTTCGTTCACATTCTGGCCTATAAATATTCTTTGCAATGACGAATATCAGGGGCCTATCTAGCTTTTTGCCAAGGGGGGGGGGGGGGGGGGGGCGGTTGACCCAATGACGAGCGGCAATGCGATTTTTTTTTGGTGCTATTTTGAACCCCCGTATTAAGTGATCTTTTCCTGGCTGGCATCTACTAACATGCGGAGCATCGTCCTCGAGCCGCAAATATAAAAGTCCTATTCTTCTTCTTAAAACTTATTGTCCAGAAATCCCATTCGTTTTGCACGTAGTGCTGGTTATTCCTACTTGGGTGCTTTTCACATGTCCTTTTCCTTTCAAATTTCGTAAGCATAGTCTCTAGCATCTCATCAAGGTCACTACATTCTTTGATTTTGAAATCACCCATGCATAACCGTCCAAGCGCCAATTTGTCCGTTTCTGGTCCGTTTCATGAAGCCTTTCTTTCTTCCTTAATCTCAGCTATCCTAGATCCTACAGAGTGCTAACAAATTCCTGTAGAAAGTCTACGTGATGTTCCTTCATCTACGACGTATAATTTAATCTTTAAAATGTCATATTGGTACTCGAAATTCAAATCCGAAACCGACTCCGAAAAAATTTCTAAACTTCTTAAAGGATTTAGGGGAACCGGGGTAAAGTGGAACGCGGGGCAAAGTGAAACACGCCGGTAAATTTTTGTTTATGCTGCCATCTAAGTTCATGTGCCAATAACACTGCAACGAGGATGCATCGTTTGTTACCGGTGTTGCGCGAATACGTCAAGTATGTGTACATTTTACGGAAAATATCCGTTTTTCATACATAAAAAACGATAATTAATATAAGTATATTATCTGCTAAAATACTGTGTCAAAGTTTCCGCGCTTCACGGAGGAGAGAGGGGGGAAACTCACCCCTCCCTGCACCCCACCCCCCCCCCCAATTACGTCACTGTTGGTCACCATAACGTACCAATATTTGGCTCGCATAATTTCAAATATGGGCCCCCCTAAGAAATCCTGGATCCGCGCCAGTGGCGGATCCAGGGGGGGGGGGGAAAGGGGGGGAAAAAAAGGGGGGGGGGAAAGGAAAAAAAAAAAAAAAAAAAAAAAGGAAATAAAAGGAGAAAGATATCAAAGTATCAAAATATGCTCATCTGACCCTAATTAAATGCCTCAAAATCCCTTGACTTCCGGTGGCTCTGCCCCCTGGACCCACCTAGGGCCCTAAGGCGGACGGCTGGATGCTAATCTGACAGTAATTGAATGCTTAAAACCCCTGAGCTTCTGGGGTCTCGGCCCCCTGGACCTCACGTCAATTAGTGTCCTGCCAGTGTCACAAATAAGGTATCAAAATATGTTCATCTGACCGTAATTAAATGCCTATAACCCCTAAGTTTCGGGGCTCCACCCCCTCAACCCCACCAGGGGCACTAAGGCGGGTCCCTGCATGCTTGTCTGACCGTTATAAAATTCCTAAAACCCTGAGCTTCTGGAGGCTTCGCCCCCTGGACCCCACGCCAACTAGTTACCTGCCAGTGTCACAAATACTATTATTAAACCTCTGAGCTTTTGAGGGCTCCGCCACCCGGACCCAACACCAATTTGTTTCCTGCCAGTGTCACAAATAAGGTATCAAAATATGCTCATCTGACGATAATTTAATGCATAAAACCCCCTGAGCTTTTTGGGGCTCCGCCCCCTGAACCCAACACCAATTTTGTCCTGCCAGTGTCACAAATAAGGTATCAAAATATGCTCATCTGACGATAATTTAATGCATAAAACCCCTGAGCTTCTTGGGGCTCCGCCCCCTGGACCCAACACCAATTTGTGTCCTGCCAGTGTCACAAATAAGGTATAAAAATATGCTCATCTGACGGTTATTTATTGCCCAAAACCCTGAGCTTCCGGGGGCTCCGCCCCCTGGACCCCACGCCAATTCGTAACCTCCCATTGCAACAAATAAGGTATAAAATCATGCTCATCTGACAGTAATTTATTGCCCAACAATGGGCACATCAACACGTTTTTAGATTTGTGCTGTTCACGCAGTTTGATTTTATACTTTAATATTTGACAAGTAATATTTGGCACAACAAAAGACACGGCAGCATCGAAGAATCAGAATTCATGTACATGACCACACATGGGTCCAAGTCAAACAACAGCGTACATGGTTACTTTCGATAGGTCATATATCAAAGTTTGACGGAACGTGAGAACCTAGAGTAAAATATGTTTGTGTAACTCTGAACCATCTATATGATCCATAATATGATTTTTCGACGACGTACCATTGGCTCGAATATTAAAGCAGTCATTTATACTTTTATATGCCGAAAAAAAAATAGACTAAAAAACAAAAAAAAACAAAAACAAACAAACAAACTTTTGTCGAAGATGGGATTCGATCTCTTGCGTACAAAAGGTGATGTATCTAAAACCAGCGCCCTTAAACCGCTCGGCCATCGCGCTCTATTACTATACTAAGCAGTTTTCTCTAATATATACATTAAAATGGATTGAAAACGGCTTCGCGTGGTGGATGCTTCGCTGCTGGTCCATTAAACGGGCCCTTCTTTTACTTTTGCAATGCATATTGGCACGAACTTAGATCTAGATCTATTGGCAGATGTTGTTTTTTTGTTTTTGGAAGTTTATTTTCGTCTTCATGTCAACAATGCAAGATAAAATTGTCGGTAAGATCGATCGAGATTCAATTGTATGAAATTACCGACCAATTCTTCGCACACGTACGGTATCCTCGATCGCTCAAACCATTTTTTAACATGTAAACCTATGGGGTAACCATGGAGACTGAACTATTTTCCCGGTAACCATGGTTACTGGGAATTTTACAGAAATAGTTAAAGTTTATGAATGCGATTTCGATCAATCAGATGGCTGGATTTCTTAAGTGAGGTATATAACAACCATTAGTTGTCGAATCGACTTAAGTGATTGCAATCACCTAAGTAATAGTCTGATTTCCAGAGCCTTTGACCGAATGGTCGTATGTTTTGTGCTGCACAACGACTCAATCAGTTTAATTTTGGCCATTACAAGTAGTGGGTTATTGATGTAGACAAAATTGCTCATGTACCTGTTACAGCTCATTTTATGTATGTTTATTACCAAAGAAAAAAAGATGTCAGTCAGTCAGTCAATAGTATAGTATTAATGACTACTTTGAGAGAAATAGTTGTTTTTATACGCTCAAGGGAAGGTTAGAATTGTGCTATTACCCGAGGCGTGCCGAGGGCAATAGCCCAATTGTAACCTTCCCGAGAGCGTATAAAAACAACCATTTCTCGAATATTAAAGCAGGCCTTGGCCCCCCCCCCCCCCTCCCCCCAAAAAGACGGGCAAAAAAAAAGGTTTTAAAAAAAAGTTACCCTTTTTTGGGGGAGTAAAAACAAAGCGCTCACTATGCCACCCCACCCCACCCCCCCCCCCCCCCCCCCCCCCCAAATGAGCGAAATATCGGCGGCGCGATTTTCAAATTTCCGGGGTCAAAATAGAAGAAAAAAAAATTAGTGCTCGCTATTCCCCTATTTAGATCCTGCTCGATCTAATCATTGTATTTTAAAATATTTGAGAATACGTTGGTACAATGAGTAAATAATATTTTGTATTCATAATGCTATGATCAAGATTTTTAATATTTAAAATACAAAATTAAAAAAAGAGAATGGATGCACCTACACGAACCTAACAACGGAGTAAGTCGAGCGAGGTATCCTATGATATCGACATTATCATATCTCCCCATTTTTGTTGAAGATTTTTTTGTACATGGGTTTCATTTCTTGATTTTTTGTGCTCTCCTTCTCGTCGCTCTCTTTATTGTTAGAATCGTCGTCATCCTCGTCGTCAACGTCTTTGTCGTTGGGTTCCTTCTCTTTTCGTGGACAGTTCTTCTCTCGATAGTAGGTGACGATCTTATACAAGAAGATCACGGTAAAGGAATCGATGTTTATGAAACAGAGGTAGAGGGAGGGATAGAAGAGCATGTCAAGAAAGAGAGGAGAGTCAGCGAAGGTGACGACGGTTATGGTCAAGGCCAAAGATACGTTCTGTGAACCGGTCTCGAAGGCGATGGAGCGGCACTTCTTATGAGGTTGACGGAGCAGGCGCGCGATACTGTAACCCATACAGAAGCCTATCATCGGAAGTATTGCGGCACAGAACCAGAGCCTCCATCCAGCCTTGAAAAAGGCAGGGTTCATTATGATGCTGATGGCGATGGCGAAAATGAGGCAGATGAAGGAACAGACGATGCCAATCTAATTGTGCAGAAAAGGAGAAATAAGGTCATGGAACAATGCAAAACTCATGTTTTACAATCTGCCGTCCTCTTATGTTGAATGTACATCCTGAAGTTTCAACTGTTATATACAAATATTATCATAAATTTCGGAACTCTGAACCTTCTTTAAAGTAAAGACTTTTGAAATCATGTTTCTTTTTGGAAATTGTGTTTAATGTGTCTTATGATCAGTTTTTGATAACACTGCCAATCTTGGACATATATCAGGATAGAGTAACCGGGAGAGTAACCCAAGAGGACAATCAACATGCCCATTTAACACGATCGTACGAATAGGGTATTAATAATGTGCTTGTCATGAGTTGATTTTTCGAAAATATTTGAGATCTGGTAGTTGTCAATAACGGGGGTCGGACCGCGGAAGATGCCTCCATGATAGGCCTCTGCCTGTCAGCCTACGTAGCTAGCATACTAAATTCCCGGACTAAAATAGTAGGGAGGTAATAGCACAGGACATAATTATGTCTAAAAGAAGACATAATTTCAAGCACGGCATAGCATTAAAGAGGGCATGGCAGATGGCACCTCCTACAAGCTTCCAGTGTAGTTACTTATTCTTCTGTTCAATAACAGAAGAATGGCCAGACCATTTACATGATTTACAAACCGAATAGAAATTAACACATACTACCCACGCCCCCCCCCCCCCGGGGGGGGGGGGGGGGTTCGTTTCTCAAATTTGGTTTGGACGGGGGTCATTTAAGGAATTTTTTTTCTCGAAATGTTTGCCATGCAAACACCTGAAACATTTTGAGATTTTGAAAACACGGACCCATGTTTAGGGATTTTGTGTGTAAAGAAGTGACCTATTAGAACGGCACACCCCCGTATGGCTTAACATGTGAGTACCCCCTCCCCCGGCTCATACCCTCCTCTGAAGAAATCCTGGCAAGGTCACTTATTCTGAGTGGAGCAATCAGTAGCGATTCTCAAGCCCCTCCAATTTCTTCACGCCCCTAATAATTATAATGAAAACAAGACTTAGAAAAAAAGAAAAGAAAGAAGCCCATCTCCCAAACATAATGTTCTAGGACCGCTCGTGTGAAAAATCTGCCGCAGATTACTGGCAAAGTCCTATTCCTCACCCTAGTAATATGCTTAGTCAGTGATTTTTTCCACCAATTCAGGAATACACCGAAAGCGACGGGGACGAGGATGATGACCAGAGTTGTAACGATGTTGACATAGGGAATGATCGCCTTGTCGTCGGTCCACACACGGCTATAGATGAAGAGATTGAGGGGCATCATTCCGATAGCAACCGCTGTCGAAGCTGCTGTCATGCACACGCTTTTTGAGAGAAAAGAAGAGGGGGGGGGGGGTGTTTAGACATATTCATCCTATTCGCCTTGTCTTTAAATTCATTATAAGAAATGGCGAACATCAGAGTATAGGGACAAAACTTGTAATAAACAAAGACAAAGTGTTAGGAGCAAGTAATTAAAATGTTCCTTTTGAAATAATTTTTTCCTTAGAAATTAATTTCAATCTGCTTCTTCACATTAAAAAATTAGCCAGTAGGTCAATTGGACTATGGATTTGAAGAGAAGGTTGAGTTCTGGGAAGAGGTGAAAAATAATTGTAGGCGTTATCATTCTTATTATGCAAGTGTGGAAGAACATCAGATAAGACATGTTCCCTGAAAAGCATGGCTCTTCAAATGCCTTCATATTCTAAATATGTCATGTAACATCGTTAAAACTCGGGGGTGGGATTTTTAAGCCACGTGTTCGTGTAGTCCCATATACATCTTTCTGTGTACAGACTTTTTCTGGTCGATTCCACACCGTTTCTTTCACAATGCAATCGCATGACCAGAACTCAACTTCATCTTTAATAGCGTCTCATTGCATGATTACGTCTATTTGTGCTTCGATACATTTCGCTAGTTTGCCATTTATTATCGTCTTACTGATTTTGAGTAGACATTCTATATGACCCATTATTAATAAAAATATGTTTTTATATTAATCTTTTTGAAGAAAACTGAGTAAGGAATGGATTTTTTTTCTTCAAGAGTCCTTGAGCAAATCTGACGCAATTCATTCAGGTGATAATATAATTTATATACATCTGAAATAACAGAAGAAGTCAACTATTTGATTAAATATTTTATTACAATCTTACGAAATGCGGTGCAAATTATGTCGCTTCCTCCTCCATGGAGTTAAATAAAAACATATATTATATGTTTTTATTAAATGATAAACCACAGTTTGATGCGGAAGTATTTTCTGAACTATTCAGAGACTTTATTTTGTTTAACAACTACTCTTTTTGAGAGGGGGGGGGGTGGGTGGGCTTGAGCCAGCACATCCATCATCTGCATGTAATATTCCAGATTTCCCTACATAAATCTATGTTAATCCACGTACCTGAGGCAGACATCTCCATCGACCCAGTAGGTGTAGAGATTAGAGAGGGTGCCACCGGGGCAGCAGGCAAGGATTAGCAGTGATAGAGCCCCTGCTGAAGGTAGTTGAAAGGCTAGTGCAATACAAAATCCAATCAGGGGCATAAGGACGAACTGGCATAACATACCAATGAAGAAACCAGTTGGACGACGGATCTGTGATATCATATTATGACAACAACAATTATGATGATGATGATGATGATGAAGATAATGATAATAATTATAATAATCGTCATCATCATACTACCTTCACCAATACAACTACCACCCCACTACTATTAATACTACAAGTACTACTATTTATATTAAAAATTATACAAATAAGAGTATCAGTAAACACTGGGTGGGATCCCAGGTGCGGGCGCTTTTCTAATATTTTCGCCGCCCCCCCCCCCCGGCTAACGACAATAAAACTAGTGAAAACTACCCCGAAAAGACATTGCGTCACATCAAACATCTCCTATTATTCAAATAGTGAATTTACATTTTTAAGAAGAACGACTAAACACACACACACGCGCACGCACACACACATACACGCATGTACAGCACTGCAGTAACACTATGCATAATCACCGTGCGTAACCCCGTCATCTTTTAAACAGGGGAGAGATTAATGTCAGTTGGGATATTGATATTTATATACCTTATACATAGATTGTCATTCACTGATTGGTCAAGACTATATCATATGACAAGGAGCATTTCGATCTATCATTGCGTCGTTCTATCAAACCCTGTGATAGTACTCCAAATCCCTGTAATAGAACTCCTAACCCCTGCGCGACTTTTGCACACACACACATTAGGCAATTTTCGCAAACTCATTGCGGAATTAGAATCTCCGGTTCGTGTGAAAAATCGAGAAGATACTATAATAACAGTTGGATGACCGCTAAGGCCCTGAAATCTAGAACGGGTTTTGGCCAAATCTACAGGCGTTCTCAATGACGCCCCAAGTGAATCAAGTGCCTCGATTCAAACTATTTCATTCACCTGATAATAATAATAGTATTTAAATAGACAGAATCCAATCTGCATACATTAGTTGTTGCCACACTTAATACATGCAGTTTGCATTCTGACTATTGCGAATCCTAGACAGGTGAATGAAATAATTTGTATTGAGGAACTTCACAAAGACGTATTACGAAAATGGCCTGTTCCATTCCACGCAATGCAGTACAGACGGGACTACACGACTAGCACAATTTGTCTCGATCAAGCCACAAAACGGCTTTTTATCAAATTTCAACAATAATTTATCATCAAGTTTTAAAACAATTCATGTTATATCCATATTTATGTTGTTGTTGTTCAGAAACAATAATCGGAAGAAACAAAACTCACCGAAGAGTCATTCGTGTCAGGGGCGGATCTAGGGGGGTTAGGCGGTTTAAATCCCCCCTTGGGCTGGCCAAGGTGCTTTCTACCCCCCCCCCCCCCCCCGAAATATTGGTTGGCACTTTTTTCAAATTGAAAACAAATTTTAGCGCTCCCTACCCCCACTTAGCAAAATATTGGTCGGCGCCATTTTTCAAATGTCAACCCCCCCCCCCCCCGCCCACGCCATGGAAAAGAAGCTAGATCCACCCGTTAAAATCGTCATCCTTCGTTATTAGACGACGAAATTCTCATAACCATCTTTGGTACAAGCTCGCTGATTGGCTGTTTATTCACTTGGGGCGTAATTTAGAACGCTCGTAGATTTGGCCAAAACCCGTTCTGGATTTCAGTATCTCAGCGATCACCTGCTGTTACTATAGTAGCTTCTCGATTTTGCACACGAACCGCAGGTTCTCTGTCCGCAATGAGCTTGCGAAATACCTAATGTTTGTCGAACTGGCAACAACTAATGTATGCAGTTTGGATTCTGTCTATTGAAATACTATTATCCTTATCCAGGCGCGGATCCAGGATTTCTTAGGGGAGGGGGCCCAACTTTTCTTTTTTTTTGCTCCCGAAAATTTGAAAATCGCGCCGGCCGAAAAGTCGCTCAGTGGGGGGGGGGGGGGGGGGGGGGGGGGGGGGGGGGGTACAGAGCACATTTTTTTTTTTTTTTTTGCTCCCGAAAATTTGAAAAACGCGCCGGCAAAAAATTCGCTCAGTGGGGGGGGGGGGGGGGGGGGGGGGGGGGGGGGGGGGGGGTAGTGAGCACATTTTTTTTTTTGATCCTCAAAAAAAATTCAATTTGCACCCCCCCTTGAGCGCCAGGGGGGGGGGGCCCAACCCCAAAAATCGTAAAAATCACGTGATTTTACATGATTTTTTCTCAAGGGGGGGGGCCCGGGCCCCCGGGCCCCCCCCTGGATCCGCCACTGTCCTTATCTAGTGAAAGAAATATTTTGTATCGAGGCACTTCACAAAGACGTATGCATTAAATTTGGTTACATTACGAAAATTGCCTAATGGCATTGCAAATGCAATACCTCCGTAGAGATACGTACGCATTCACCAAAAAGCGAAACCACGTATTGTATCGAGAACGGTCTGTGTGCGACGGCCGTAAACCTGAGTGCTCTGCGTCCGCGAAGGTTTGTATGTTGCTGAGCGAAAACTCGCTACTCACGCGTTGTCACGGCGCTCTAGCTCAAAATGGTTTCTTCATGTCAACGCAGCTGAAATCAAAGTTGTTGTATTTTCTCGTGGTAAAGTTCGAAAAATTCATATAGACGGTATAGAACTATTTAAATTTGATGATGATATTGTAGAAGTTGTTGATGAATACGTCTATCTTGGAACGGATGAGGTATATAAAACAAATATGGACTGCTCTGTAATCGGATGGTGGTGGGAATTATCACTTCCTCGGTGGTGTTCATACCGGCCATTCTATATCACCCCCGAGGCGAAGCCGAGGGGGTGATAGAAGGGCCGGTGGTGAACACCGCCGAGGGAGTGGTAATTCCCACCACCATGATAGAAGGGCCGGTATGAACATCCCTTTGGAGTGATAATATACAAATATTGACTGCTCATGAGGATGATGGTAGGAACTACCACTCCCAAGGTGGTATTTACACCGCCGAGGGAGTGGTAGTTCCCACCATCATCCGATTACAGAGCAGTCCATATTTGTTTTATATACCTCATCCCTTTTATTGATTCATGATTCGGTCAAGCCGTGGGTCTAGATCTAGCTCTAAAAAACAGGAAATGAGGTCAAGAGGAATTTACTCACCAGAATAAGAAAAGTCCAAGGCAAGAGTATTGAATTCCTACGCGCTGCGCGTAACCGTGCGATTGCGGTAGCCTAGCTAGCAACTCAAAAAATTGGTGTACGCAAAAGTCGAGGAGGGGTTAGGAGTCCTATCCCAGGGTTTGATAGTAGCTACCAAACCCTCTGACGCAATGATACTTGATAGATCGAAATGTTCCTTGTCATGTGATATAGTTTTGAGCAATCAGTGAATGACAATCTATGTATGAGGTATATAATTCCCACCTTCATCCTCATGAGCAGTCAATATTTGTATACTAGCAGAGGATAGACCACACTGAACAGACAAAATAAAATCCACTTTTCCTATCCAGAAACATACGCGCAGATATACGACTTACCCTTCGTTTTCCCCGCACATTCTTGCGCGCGTGCACCTTCCCACACCCGAACCTCCTTGAACCCGACCACACGTAAACCTGTACTACTAACCGTCTTTCTAAAATCCTTGTAGTTGAGAGTACATCCCATGGAGATCATGAGAAGCATCAGGAGGATCATGTTGATCACCTTTGTCGCGAGCTTAAGATCCGGACCAGTGTACGGTTCAATCAAGGTTTCGTTCCCCGTCGTGTTCATCGTCCAGTTCATTATTGTCGTCGGCATCATGGTCGAATCTTCCATAGTGTCGAGATTAAAGGTCTGACGAAGATGAAGTATTGGAAGAAAGGAGTGTAGAGTTTGCAGACAATATTGTGATACGTATTTTTCTTAAAGATACTAAGTCCCTTTTGCAGCCAACGTCGAGTTCTGTAGAACTTTGCAGGAATTATGACTATGTCATGTATGTCCTATCTGTGACATGTTAACATTAGCAGTGTCCTAGTATTCAAATTATGCAAGGAAACCCGTTGACCTTGTATACTTTACTGTCAGACACTATTGACTGACTGACTGACATTTTTTTTTCTTTGGTAATAACATACTTAAAATGAGCTGTTACAGGTCCATGAGCAGTATACATTCTATTACCCAGTTCCTGTAATGGCCAAAATTAAACTGATTGAATCTTTGCGCAGCACAAAAAACATACGACCATAAGGTTAAAGGGTCTAAAAAATCAGATTATTACTTAGGTGATTGCAATAACTTAAGTCGATTCAACAACTAATATTCGTTATTTCCCACTAAAAGCCATTTTCAAGCCCTTTCGTTTTGAGAGAAGTTCTAAATTAGTAATGTCTTTCAAATGCCGTTGGAATTTAACCGTTTCACTTTGTTGGCCTGCAAATGGGACATAGTACCTTTAAATACCAGTTAGTCTGCCTACTCTTTCGCTCATTTAGAGGGACAAAACGTACAAACCAAAATGATCATAGACAGCTTGTAAATGTAAACCTGATACATTGTTAATACTATTGCGTTATAAATAGGCAGGACATTCTGACTTATGGATCCTGTCGAAGAGAAGGAGAAGTAATTGCAGTCGTCGTCAATATTGTGGGGCGGTAGGAATACCCCCTTTCAAACATTATAACCTTGAATCAAGATTAATTTCCAAATTTGGCCTCTCTCTACACTGTAAAATTTCAAACTGGTTCGAGCTTTTGTTTACTAACGTGTTTTGTCCCTTCTGTTATGCTATGCTTTGTTTTAATCAGGCAAAACGAAAGTGCTCTTACCCCCTCCCCTCCCTCTCCCCCCCCCCCCCCCCCCCCCCGCTTATTCAGCGGCTGGCTGAGTCGTTGCGAAATATTTCCTCAAAAACTGGAGCAAAAAAAAATAAAAAAATTGTGCTCTTACGATTTTTGATTGATATTATAGTAAAAATCACAATGACAATGACAATCGACAATGATTTTAAATGATTGCTGGTGAAACTTCGGAAAAATATTAGTAATTTAGTTGTAATCTCTCTCGAAGTCGTGACAGCGGATAAAAAGTCACAGGAAAAAAAAATAGCGGGTCTACCGACATTATTTACATATCACTGGGTTCAAACTTCTGCATTGATAAAGTATACGAGGATCGAGCGAGAATACCGACACAGGCAAACAGCAACATATCTATGCGTATCTTTCTTGCTCCCTCGACGAGACGACTCCACCCAACAACCCCTTCTCTCTCTCTTACTCCCACCTCCTCTCGATCATGCTCTTACACCTTCTCTCTCTACTCCTCTCTTTCACCCCCCGTTTCCTTTGTTTCATTTTCTCTTTCAGTCCCCCCCCCCCCTTTTTCCCTTTTCTCCTTTTCTTTCTTTTCTTTCCTTTCTTTTTATTGAAATATATTTAATCAGGATATCAAGAATCAGATATACATTGTAGATACAAAATCTGTTTTACATCATGGTCCTGAACAGGATAAAAACACGGAAATATAAATAACGAATATCACCAAAGCTCACAGGCAAAGGTAAGAACAGTATAAAACTAACATATAAGCATAATACGCATTAAAAATAGTAAAAAGCACAACAAAACAAAAAAAACAAACAAAAACGACAATGAAATAAATGAAATTAACAGCGGAAAAAATATCAAATCACATTTAATAAAAGGCATTAAAATATCACCCTAAAAAATAGAAGAGGAGAGAAGATATAAGGAAACTGGTAAAAAGTAAAGGAGGAAAGAGGGAAAGAAAGAAAGAGGGGAGAGGGAAAGAAAGAAAGAAAGAGGGGAGAGGGAAATGGAGAGAGAGAGAAAGAGAGAGAGAGAGAGAGATAAGCCACGTCAAAGCAGTAAATGAATCGGCATTGTATTACACAGGTTTAAAAAATTTGTCCTTGTACATACGTTAAAAACATCGATAGATTTAGCATTTTGAAAAGCAGAAGGTAGACTATTCCAGATTTTACCTCCAGCGTATCTAAAACAATTCTTAAAACATTCAAGATTAGGCTTAGGTAAAACAACATTCAGCGTATTGGCAAGTCTAGTGTTAAAACCATGTCTGTCAAAAACCATTTCCACTTCATTGCATAATCGTACTGGGGCTTTTCCATGAATACAGTTGTACATTATACATGATAAAAAATAGTCCGTCTAGTGTCAATGGATTGCCATTTTAATGAATTTATTATACTCAAGCTATTTACATTATAATCAAAATTCCCTACGACAATACGTGCAGCTCTTTTTTGCAGTCTTAAAAGAATATTTCTGTTTTGTAAAGAACAGTTTCAATCTGACACCTTCATCTGCTGTAAGGTTGTACTGTATTTATCGACCACCCCCGTCTGCCAATAATAATCTCTCCAACGGCACATTCTTGGATGAATTTCCAACTCTCCTTGAAGGTGCTGTTGTAGATGATCATTTTCCTCTATTATTGGGTGATTTCAACATACATGTTGATGATCCCAATGATAATTTTGCAAAATCTGTTATGACATGTGTTGATTCGTTAGGGTTCAAGCAACATGTTCGTGAACCAACCCATCGCGCAGGTCACACTCTAGATTTGATTTTCACAAGGAATTCGGATGATGTTTGCAACGTGAACTCGCTATCTTCCATGCCTTCCGACCATTGTGCACTTGTCACCCACTGTCAATATCGCAAGGCCGAAGAATCCCAAGAAAGAGGTTTCCTTCAGGAAATATCGCAGCATTGACAAGGACTCTCTACGCAACTCTATTGACACAATGTTCCATTCACTTCCTGATCTATCTTGTCCATCTGCTTCCGCGGAGCATTACAACTCATCTTTGCGGACGTTGATTGATGAGCACGCTCCAATCCAGGTCAAGACTGTATCAATCAGACCTGATGCGCATGGTTTACCGATGATATCCAGGAAGCCAAGAGGCGAAGGCGTCGTGCGGAACGTCGTTCGATCAAATCTGGACTTTTTGTTGATAGAGAGCTGTACCGCCGTGAATGCGAGTCATATTATGAGTGCATCTTCAATGCGAAGTCAGCGTATCTCAAAGATCTCATCAAGAATGCTGACACTAAAGAACTGTTTCGTCTTGTGAAGACACTCTCAACGCCCACTCAATCTTCACCTCTTCCAGATCATTCTTCTGATAGTGAACTCGCCAACAGATTTGCTACATTCTTCAGGGAAAAAGTCGCCAAAGTTGTATCCTCTTTCCTAATGTAGTACCAGCACCAGCTTCAAGATCTTTTGCTCCAGGCCCTCGTCATGAACTCTCTGATTTCTGCCTTGTATCCCTCTCACAAGTCAGGAAGCTCATCACTTCACTTCCTTCTAAACACTGTAAGCTAGATCCGATTCCTACCTGGCTTCTAAAGGAAGTCCTCGATGAACTCCTTCCTCACATAACCAAACTGTTCAATCTCTCGTTATCATCCGGAATAGTTCCAGAGTCTTTTAAGACTTCTCTGCTTCTTCCCCTCCTAAAGAAGCCGAGTCTCGACACGAATGGACTTAAGAACTACAGGCCCATCGCAAACCTGCCATTCCTTGGGAAGGTTTTGGAACGTATTGTGTCACTACAGCTGAAAGCCCACATTGACAATCTCGGTTTGTTTCCAATCCACCAATCTGCCTATCGGAATCATCATTCTACTGAGACTGCAACTGTCAAGGTCCTAAATGACCTACTTCTAGCTGTAGATAAGGGTAATGAAGCTGTCCTCATCTTGCTTGATTACACTGCCGCATTTGACACTATCAACCACGACCTGTTACTCCATCGCTTAGAGAACGACTTCTCCATCACCGGCACCGTACTTCAATGGATTCGCTCCTATCTCATGCACCGAACTCAGAAGGTGATCATCAATGACACCAACTCGGAATCATTTCCCCTCATCTGCGGCGTTCCTCAGGGTTCCGTGGTCGGCCCCCTCCTGTTTATTCTTTACACCAGCCCTCTCTCAAATGTTATTAACCTTCATCAGAATATTCAACACACTATGTATGCAGACGACACCCAGATTTATGTAACTCTTCACCCAAACAGCAGGACAGTAGCCGCGAACAAACTCACCAGTTGCCTCAATGAAATCAAAACCTGGTCTTTTCAAAACTGTCTCTGCCTTAATGATTCAAAATCTGAAATGATTCATATTACTTCTAAATTTCGGAACTCAGACCCCTTTCCTGATCTTGTTATGAGTGATGGCTCTCTCAGTTGTTGTGCTTCTGTGCGTGACCTTGGTTTAAATATTGACAGCAATCTTACTTTCAAACAACACATTAGTAATATTTGTAAGTCTGCTTCCTTTGGTATATATAAGATCAGTAGAATCAGGAGGCTACTTGACCGACCCACAACTTCAAAATTAGTCCATGCTTTTGTCTCGACCCATATCGATTACTGTAATTCTTCTCTTTCTGGCCTCCCTCAGTCACATCTAGTCCCACTTCAAAGGGTACAGAATAGCGCTGCTCGGCTTGTGACTCTCTCGCGTAAATCAGAGCACATAACTCCAATATTGAACTCACTACATTGGCTTAAAATTCACCACCGCATATCCTTCAAAATTCTTCTCCTGTGCTACAAAGCTATCAATGGCTTAGCCCCTCTTACCTTTCCGATCTCATATCCTTACGTTCCCGTACGTCGTCACGAACACTTCGTTCATCTTCCACATTACTGTTAACACCTGGACCCCGCACTAACACCCGGTATGGTGACCGCGCCTTTTCAGTTATTGCCCCCACTCTCTGGAACAAACTGCCCGCCTTTATTCACTGCGCCCCCTCTG